TTATTGAAGTGTCAGCTATTGTTTCCAGTCAAAAATACAATTACGAAAGCAATACTAGGATAGATTAAACAAGATTGCCCTTACCGATCTGCAATCCTCGTTCTCCTCCATCTTGAGATATGCAACACCACTGACAAAGTACGTTTTGTAAAACCCCTGAAAATTTATTGGAAACCCCACCGAAAAAAAAAAAATCGCCAAAAAGATCCCGCCAAAAAATCCTAACTCGAAAATCCAACTCGAAAATCCAACTCGAAATCCTAACTCGGGAGTTAGTTTGTCTCGAATAGAGCACGTCTTGTTGTGTAATTCAACTAGCGAATACAACTTGCCTTGTTCTGCAATTCAAATTGCCCGTTTGAACACTCGCCCCAATCTCCTACCATGCGATCACCCAGCAAACCGTATAGGTGACGTTTATATATTTCCTTTTTCTCACTACTTTACTATTTTATCCGCTTAATCAGCCACGTGTTTCAATCCGCGATCGATTCATTCCCGATATCTTCGAGGTTCACTTTTTGCAAACAACAAGTTCGACCGCGTCGAGAAAGTCTTCAATGCAATGACTGTCTCCGCTGGCAACACCGTACCAAAGTACGCCTATCCTTTTCAACGAATCTGATTTACCTTCTGGTACTGAAGCCGAATCCGTCGCAGATCCTGCGTTCGATTAGAAACCGCTGACTTACCTTCTGATACTGACGCTGTTTTGTCAAATCTTACTTCCGCTAAAATTACTATTTTTTTTTCTGTCAAACTTTTTTTAAACCAAAAAAATAATAGCAATGACCAGTAGATATCCTAGCTTGTAGAACACGGTAACGACTGAGTTCCACAAAAATTCAAACTGGCGTACTTATCCGTTGTATAAATTTAAACGGTAGACCTTGGTTGGAATTTGCATGATAACTTAGGAAGAGAAACTAAAAAGTAAAACATAGTGAATATACTGTGAGACGAAGCGACTCTTTCGTGGAACGAAGTGACCGCTAGATGGAACGAACTGACTTGCAACGAAATGATCATGGAACGAAGTGACTGTAACTCAATATAAGCATAAAACATGTTACAGTTTTTTGATTTTACAAAAATGAGGGTAGTTCTCGGTAACAGACAAATTGACTTACGGTTCACATGATACGTTTCATAAATTCTCCTGTGGCAACATGCTGAGTTCATCTGGAGAGGCGTTGAAACCACCACTGAAGTACGTAAAATTGCGTAACTACCCTCGAAAATAGGACTGGCGCGAGGTCACGGGGTCATACGTTGTGAGTACAAGTCAAGAGGACAAGACCGCAAGCCCCCACACGCAGCACCCAACACTCTGAAAACAAGGTGAAAAACTCAATGTATTCCGCACACGCGCTCCATCGGTAATCGTCTAATAATTAGAATTTTATTCATATCTACAAAGCTTACTTCGCGTCTAAAACTACGCTTTCGCGATGTTTTCGAATAAAAACAGAAGATTACGTTTTCCACCTCAATTTGTTCAACAGAAAGGGAACCTTTAGCTGTATGTTGGTTAGGGTGACATCGTTCTTGTTTTCTTTTCATTTTTGTTGTTTTCTGTGGTTGCTTTTTATTTTAGCAAATTGACCTAGGTAAATTTTAACCTTTTTTGCCTTCTTTCGAACCAAGTTCGATTGAGTCATTTACAAGAAATATTTACAAGAAAAATCTTCAGCCAGACGAGTCGTATCCATGCTGAGCACCAGTCTTACAAGTCGAGGAATCGAGCTATGGGCTCTGGTAAATCTCTACTAAGGCATTCGAAGAGTTCCACTTCTTCTTAACGAAACCCCCGACGCAAGGTCGTTCCAGTACCTTGCGTTGCATAACAACTACGCGAAATAAAACCGCCAGCTCACTTAGTTGTCAAGACTTGTCGTTGCCATGTGATGGTCTTGTTCTCGGTGTCCCAGGGTTAAGGACTGGCACTACTGTACGAGTTGTTCTTATTTTCGTGTTAACGTACTCCTTCCATGAAAGTTGTGTCAAGATGCCGAATAAGCGTTCTCATGAAAGTCATTTCTTTCCGCGTATTCTCAAATATTTCCTTGGGATCGTCTGAGGGACATCGAAGGCAGTTTGGCGCCCAAACCATAGCCAAGTTATTTTCATCCATCTTTGTTATAACGCTCTGATTGGGAAGTGAAAAAATCTGCAAAAAACAAACAAATTTTCTGAAAAGATGACTTTTTCAACTATTCAAGCTGGAATCGAAATCGCCTACATACGGTGCACATATAGAAAGAAAATCTACACCCCAACTGACTCATCACCAGAACCTATTGCAGTTTTGGTGTGATTTATTCACTAGGAGTATTAGCACTCTCTCTTCATGAGAAGGTTATTCATCCCCCATCCTTTCGGATTTCATCGGTAAGAAGGGCACCGTGAGAGTACATTGGCCTCGGCCCAGGCCATAACGGCCTCAGCCACGGATCGACCCAAACTTCCTCGCCTGAACCCGAGTTATGTTTACGTCATCCAAACTTAAAGGGAGAGCTTCCCTTCATGGGTATCCATAAACGCCCATGAAATGATCGATTTTAGTTACTCTTAAGACAAATCATACACATCATGTAAATTATTAATCACGTGTTACAAAGGGAAAATTTATTGTAATGACGTCACGACGTCTTCCAGGTGTGATCGTCTAACCCTTGGACCACTAAGAGTGATGACCAGCATCTAATTTCTCCTTACAATATCAACCCCCGAATCCCACTTTAAGGTCAGGAGAAGAAAGGAAAGGATCACCAACTAAAGCTCTTGATTGTTAAACAAATTTTCCTTGTCAGCACCTCAGGAAATGCATAGAGAACAGTATGGAGAATATGCAAACTGATGTTAGGGTGGAAAGCAAACTGCAAGCTTCGCAATTTTTAATTCAGAAAAAAAGGGACCTCGTGTACACAATGACGCTGCAGTCTTATCTCGATCGGTTCTATTCTTGATCACAAAGCACCATGTCATAAACCTTACTTCAGAAATAACGAAGAGTGCCATGCTCTCCCCACATTTTACTTGGTAAATGATCTCATTGAATGGCTCGACGATTGTGCACAGCGGTAAGAAAATCAACGCAAAATAATCTGATAGAATGGTAAGTCCAGAGGGGCTTTACGCATGCGTACCTGTAAAAATCTAATGAGATATGAGAGAACGAGTCTGTTGACTTCAGGAAGAGACATCGCCAGTGCCACAGCCACCGTAGGGTCATCACAGTTGTTAACGCACCTTTCAGTAAGAAGGAGTCAAGGAAACATGACGTTCAACAGGCACTGACGAAAAATATAAATTATAAATGATATTTTTCAAGGGTCCAACCCAGATCTCTCGATTCAAAGTCTAGCGCGCTACTCACCACGCGACCGCAGTTACTGTTAGTGCACCACAGCACACTCATTGTAACCTCTCTAACCTGTTTCAGGTTAAAGGCTAAGCCCCGCCTAAACACTACAGAATTTACTTCATTTCAAGGATATTAAAACTGTTCCGGTATGAGAGGTTCGTGGAGCTCTCTGAACCAAAGTTTCAGAAGTGATGCGGGTACATGGGGGTCTGTGATCTCTGTGGGAACCTTCAATTGGTCAAGCTTGATTTTCTGGGAGTTCACTTCGTCGATGTCTCCAGGGACCCTGTAAAGGACAAGGAAAAAATAGGCACCCCTTTGATGTTGTTCGCGAATGTACTCTGTTATCGTGCGCTTGTTTTCGATTATCTTGGTAATTACAAATAAAACTGTCTTTAATTGGAATTAAGATGTAAATGAGTGTCTTAGAGACGTTTCTACCTGAAAAAAGCCCACACAACGCTTACGAAAGCGACATTATTATGGTATCATGCGTAGCAGCCATTTCGTTTCCTTTTATCTGAGCGGGAGAAGCGAGGACGGAGCGGGTGCTGCGGTGCTGTAGCGACAGGGAGTTTCCCTCCTTACTCCTCCCACACGCTTATCGCATTTTTGGGTCGCTTTTGTCCCAGCTCCCGCTCCGCTCACACTTCTCCTGCTTGGAGAAACAGAGAGGCGTTTACACAGGCTCTGTAGTTGACCCTTACAGCAAATAAAGGCGGACACTTCCCACAAAACCGACAACTAAGTGGGCAAAGGGAAGCCCAAAAACAAGGAGTCGTTTCTCCTTTTTCCTACTTTCTACCTTACCTGAAAATACCTTCCGTTGAAGAACCATTGTGCTGCAGCACCGATTCAGCTAAGGTTGGTAAAATCCATGGCAGTTTGAGTGAAGGGAAACGCTTGGCCTGCGCTCCCATGATGTCCTCAAGGGTAGCGCCAAACATGGACGGGTTGAACACGGAGGACTGGGAACGAAAATAAATAACAGTTAAAATATTCATAAATAAAGAAATCTATTTGAAACAATGAATGATAGGTTACGAATTACTTTCCAGAGGCAATTTGAGATTGGAAACGATATCAAAAACCCTGAGGATACCGAAGAAGACGACTACGAGGAAAGAAAGAGACATTCACTTCGGTGGCTAATCTCTGAACCTACAAGGAAGGGATAAATTAGCGACTGGCTATCATCCAACGGTCAAAATGCGATTTATTTCAAGTAACCATCCATTGTTATGTGTTTTTATTTTCTCTTTTTTGTTTGTTTTGTTTTGCAAGTTTGTCAAGACAGGCTACCATTAGGCATCCATTCCAATAATCCCAGTGACTGGTGAGGGCTATTGTCTAAATGCTAAGACCACAGCAATATTGTACGCAATGCTTTAACCAAAAGTACGATTTTTGAATGGTTAAGACTTCTTATGCCGGCCCAGTGTGGTCAGTGGTTACGGTTGCCAAGTTAAAGGACGTCAAATAGTCCAGGATACAAAGCGCCCACAAACGAAGATGAGCTGCCGTAAAATATTCTACTCTTCTTCATAAGTTGGTATGTTTTATTTGCCGAATTACCTTCGCCTGTTGAATTTCCTCGACGCTTGGTTTCCTAAGGCCGCGCTTTGCGCCAGTTCTAGACATTCTTTTGAGTCTTACGGAGCAATGCCTGACATAATGAGGAACAGGGGTCTGAACAGGAATCTGAAATAAACAACATTCAGACACAAAAAGAATTTTAATCAAATTATAATGAAAAATCGTTAAACAACTCAATATAATTGGAGGCGGCCAACACCAAATAGAAAGATGTCCAATCTGACTGGGGTGGGTGGGCATGAGGCAGGAAAGAAAATAAAGGAAAAACTAGAGAACTGATTTGGTTGAGACAATCGTTAGGTTGTTTTTGTTCCAATAGGCTGTTAAACGTACAGGTTGTACAGTAAAAAACAGCCTGGAGGACTAAAAACTCTTGATAAACTCAGCTTCACTTATATCGATAATGCAGTAAATGGTTTGAACCCGGGGGTAACATGTGAAGGTGTAGTCTGATCGTCCGGGTGAGTGTAGTCCTGAGAAGGACTGTTGTCGGTGGCAGTGACTGACGTTTCGACAACCTGTGCGGAAGTCATCATCAGAGTCAAGTGTCACTTGTGAAGTGTCACTTGTCAAGTGTCATCAGAGTCACTTGACTCTGATGATGACTTCCGCACAGGTTGTCGACACGTCAGTCACTGCCACCGACAACAGTCCTTCTCAGGACTACACTCACCCGGACGATCAGACTACACCTTCATATATCGATAATCATTGTTGTTGTTGTTATTGTTGATTTTTTTCATTAATTTTTCTTTTTTTTTTTTTCGGCTTTCAAAGCTAAGGATTCCGTAGGATATTTAAGCGGCGCCGCCGCAGAAATAAGCTAGGAAGCTGCGAGGGGATTGGGAAAGAGTAAATTACGAAACGGCTTTCCCTTCGTTCCCTCAGTATCACTTTCGTCCTTTGTCCTCTACCGCCATCATTTTCACTAAAAATCGCCAGCAGTGCAAGCTATTGATTCTTTTTCTCTTTACGAAGACTGACCTCTTTCCGTTCGATGTCCTCCAAGTTTCTGTTGATATACCCTTCTAAGTACGAGTGAAACTTGCTAGAAGGAGGAAACAGTGCAAGGCAAATTGCCATCAGCTCCCAGCCACTGCGCAAACTCTCCCTTAAAAAATAAATTAATAAAAAAAAATTTGATTGCCTTGTTAATGAAATGTTGTATATTCGCATGCGTAAGCCAACACTGAACGTGCAAACGGATTCCATCCGCGCCAAGGTGTTTGTTTAAGCCGTTCAGTCTAATTTATGCTATTCTTGTACCTTTCCTTATTTGCATGTTTTTAAACTAGTCTCTTGATAATGGAGTCATGATGACCCCGAAACGTCGAGTAATAAATCTTTCCTGGTTTTTTCAATTTGAAATCGGCGCAATATCTATACCACGCTGCAAATGCATCAGAAGGTTTAAGTACACACCGTCAATATGAGAAAAAACAAAATTAAAATAAAACTGCCCATAACTGATGANAGATAGTCTTTCTTCCAGATGGCACATAAACACGTTCGCCAACAAAGGACCAAGGGGGGACCCCATAGCAACTCCTTCACACTGTTCGTAAAGTTGACCATCAAATTGGAAAAGTTGGTCAGTGGAAGCCATTCTGAGAAGTTGAGTGAGCTGATCCTTCTGTAAGTTGAGATCGTACGTTGAATTGAACCAATTATCGGTGAAGGCTTTCTCGACAAGGATGTTGATGGTTTCCTGAACTGGGACATTTGTGAACAATGACGTTACGTCGTATGAAGCCAGTATATCACCTTCAAGGACAGGATGTTCGCGAATTTCTTTAGAGAAAACAAGAGCGTCGTCAATGGTGTATTCATTCATCGAGAGAGGCTTGAGCTTTTCTTCCAACCATTTAGCTAACTTATAGTTGTATGTCCCTGAGGCTGACAGAATCGGACGCATACTCAGGGTAGGCTTGTGAGTTTTTGGTAATCCATACAAGTGCGCTAGTCCATTAGGAGTCCATTAAAGTTCCATTAGGGCTAAACTCTTTGTTTAACTTTTAACGTTTTGTAATTTATTCACCGCTTCATTATATATATGCTCGATTTTATTATTTTAGTTTACTTGATAATGACGTTCTGGAAACGTCGAAACGTCGTGTCATGCTTTATAATATTTTATCGCAGTTTTTCATTATCAAATGTTTTACCAAATCTTTACTTATATCAACCATTCTCGTAATAAATCAGCCATATCCAACCACACCAGTAATTTCCTACAGTATACTGTTTCCATCACAAAGATGGACGGTTTGTAAAAAAGTGGGTAACAGTTTCAGTTTCGACTGATTATAAAACTCCCAACTGATTCCTAGGTCTCTGTTATGATTTGGTTCGGCGATAAGTGCCTGAAGGTACTAAACTGCTGTGAAAGATAACACACCCAAAATAACAGTTGCTTAACAATACTTACGGCCTAAAGTTGTCAGTGGTCTGTTTACAAAGTTGTAAGTAAATCTCATCCCGTAATATGGGAGTGTTCCAGCCCTTGGTGGTGAGTTCCAGAGCCAGCCTATCTGGAGTTTTCCCTTTGATTGATCGATCGCCCATATAGCCAAGAATCAGTTTAAAGGTATCAATTGCATCCTTCTTCAATTGCCTATCTTGTATTAGGATTAGAGGCTTTTTAATCGGCACCTGTTTAATTAAAAGAAGAACGCGGTAAAGACACAAAGCCCAAAGTTACGCACGCCTTACAACCTCGAAGTCTCCGAATCTAACCAGTAAGGTAATCTATTTCGGACAGAAAATTCGCCGCTTGCAGCGCCAAGCTGCCACCGACTTGGTCACAATAACGTGCACAAAAAAAATTGAATTGCAGCGGACGTCGCTTCTAGCGTTTGACGATTATGCGGCTTGCTGCACTGTTCTTTCAATTGAGTGTTTAAAATGGTCCGAAGTCAAACTGAGATAAACATGAAATGCTACAAATACTCAGTCACTTCCTCTGATTTAAAACTTGCCTCTTCCTCCTTCGCTTTCCGAGTTGACAGTCTTGAGATCTCGCGAATTGACAGTCTTGAGATCTCGCGAAAAAGTCCAAAAAGGATTGCCAGGTAGCTTTCTCTCTCTTTTTTAAATATTATTCATTGATACCTTCCTCTCTTGTCTGTCGACGAAATTTATATTTTTCTGGTGACTGTTACTTCACTTTAAGTCACTTGATGGTGACTGTGAAAGGTTGAGCTTCGGAGCTGTTCTTTGATTTCTCTGCTACTCTATTTTAAAAATACCTTTGACCAAGACATCATGCTTGTTAAGGATATTCTCTTCCGTCTGAAGACACCTTTCTTATGGTGATTGAAGTACTCTTCATAAGCACCAAAAGCTCGCATAAGTGGAGGCTTCGAACCGGGGATGGAATGTGAACGTTCCTGAAAAATAAAATAAAAATTTCTCTAAAAAATGTATCTCTTAATTCGTTAATATCTTCTCTACACGAAACCACAAAGATATGACTAGAGTCACGAAAGAGAATAGATAGTTCAATCATAACTATCAACCCTTCTTTCCCACGAAAATAAAACTACCATAAATAGGAGTAACCGCTTTGATAAAACACGAAATTCTCAGTACTAGACAACAAAGGAAATTGTGGTCATCAGTTGGGAGAATCAGCTCTTGACTATTAGAAGTAAAGGAGCCAGAAAGGCTGAAAATCAGCCTACCAAAGTGTTGTGTTTTGACGCGCCAGTGGCTGGTGAGGCAATCGAAGATGGCCGACTAAGGCGTGGCAAAGTGCTTGGTGTGCCAACTGACTTTGTTTCCACCTCGTCATCATCATCGTCGTCGTCGTCACCTCTCAAATCTTTCAAAACACTGTCGCTCACTTGCCTCTGATGTCTGAGTGAACGGACACTTTTGTGGCTCTCATTAAGGGTGTGTGGGGCACAGGCCTCTACAAGGCGTGCTGTGGTGGCTGGCATCCCACCTGCTCTGAGTTTAATGCTAAGAGAATCATCTAAAATGTCCTGGTGTCCTGTGATTATGAAAATAAAAAAACTCTCCTGATTTTTTAAAAGTTTTTGATTGTCTGAAATAGTTTGGGTGACAGACAGAAAAATAAAATAGTCATATTCCATATTCCACAATATAACATCGAAGGTAGTAGTTCTGAGAAGGGAAAGGGCCTTTTAAATCATTTGGTTGCCTAACATTTTTACTCTCAGAAGTGAAATTGTGATGCCTCTGTGCTTAAATGGAAATAACTATATAAATTTCAAAGATACAGATGATACCTTTATTAGAGACAATGGGCTTTTTGCCATCAACAAATACAGAGTCATTCTCTCTGTCCAAGTTCTGTGCAGCTCTGTTGGCTAAAATGCTTCTGGATGCACTTTCCACTAATTGCCGTGCTCGCTCAATAGTTCCAGAGGGACTCAAGTGGTCATCACAGGAGCTAATCAAAACAAGGGATACGTTATAAATGTTGATGGCCAAATAATTGTTTCTTAGTTCCCTGGATCAAGGAAAGCACTGGCAGATAAAAAGGGGCTTTTGTGAATTTTGAGAAGGAGGAGCATTTTGTTATCCCTCTACAAATGTAGTTTATAGAATATAAAGAACTGGAAATGTTCTCTTCCTTGCAACCCTAAACCTGTTGACCCTTTAACTACCATGGCCAGATATGATAGTAAATTTTCTCCTCTAGCTGCTACGCATTTCCTTGTAAATTACTTACAGGAATTTGGTGTTAGATCAAGATAACAACTTCTACAGGATAAGTTTGAGTATTCTCATTATTTGTTCACTGAATAAAGTATGGATATCATAGGGAGAATCTACATGTTAATCACTTCTTAGAGTTAAAGAGTTAAGCTAGTGAATCCACTTACACATCTGATTTTCAATCTTCCTAAGTTCAAACCAGCTTATCCCCTTACAACTATTACAGAGAGGACAGAGGTCTTTAGAAGTTTATCCTACTTGAATATTTGGTATGGAAAGTTACATAATAGTTAGAATTTCTGAACACTTACTCATCTAAATGTGCATGCCTTGACAAAGTTCCAGATGGAGTCAACTGCCCTTCGTCATCTGTAATAGTCCCTCTGCCACCTTCTTCAATATCACCTGAGGGTACATTAGGAGCAGGCACGTCAACTTCTGGTAAAGAAAGCTCAGGTGATTTTCGTTCATCCAAGCCATTTTCAGAAATGCCTGAAGCTTCTTCGCTAGCCTCTTGGCAGCTTTCATCAGCAACCTCTGCAGTTAGTATGTCCTCATCAGGCTCCTGGTCTGTTCCGTTTGCAACAGGGATAGCCTTCAAGATGGTTTCATCTTCAGCATTTGACTGTTAATGAGCAATCAAAACTTTTATTTACAGATCTACTTTGAATTTTTCACAACAGTTGTTCTCTTCCACAGATCAGCAATGCTAGCAATGTAGTATTCATAAAGATAATGAGAATAAAGACAATGATAGCCAAACTAATTCTCCCAGTCAAAATCAAAGGAAATATATAGAAAAGAACAAGGAGAATGTGGAGACTGCTGATTTTAGGGTATAAAGGATTGCAGATACGGCAGCAGGAGAATTTGGTAAGTCACAGGGGAACATTTTTAGGCCACCAAAATTCAACAAAAAAAAACTTGAATGATTGCCAGATAATTCTCTGATCTCTGATGGCTTTTTAACACCCTCAAATTGAAACGTTCCTATTCACCAGTAAGTTTTGTTAACAACACTGATTAAACAGTACTTGATACTGAGTTACCACTTTTTTTTACCTGTTTGCTATCTAAAGCCTCATTTTTTGCACTCGCCTCTGCATTGTTCTTCCTATGCTCTCTTGAGCTTGTTCTTTCTCTCTTTTCTCTACTGCTTCCACGCTGACGAGAGGAGGAGCCCTCCCTTGACACCCCATCCTTTCTTCCACTACTTTCCCTTCTTGATGAGGAACCATCACCATGGCTACTGCTACCCTCTTTCCTAAGACTTCCTTCTCTCCTTCTTCGCTCTGAGCCTTCACGCCTGGTTGAACCTTCCTTCCTTTCCAATTCTTTGGCTTTAGCTGCCCTGCGCTTTTCCCTTGCTTTCAGTGTCTTTATTGAACATGCAATAGTTGTATTAGACCTATATTTGCAGTTACTAACTTCTAAGGCATAGAGTTGAAACAAAACTTTGGCCATACCAAAGGTCTTCAGCAAAAAGAGAATTGTTTTTCAATTAAAAAAGAATTCATTCATCACAAAGTAAATGTGCAAATACAATTTTAATGGCTACATGAGAAGAATGAAAAAAAAGATAGTAAGACTAAAAGAAAGATGGACAGTTGGGACCTCAAAGATAACAGGGCTTGACACTAACTTTTCACCTTACTAGCCACGTGGCTAGTGACATCTGAGATGTACTTAGATGTTACGACAATTTCAGTCTGTTTACTAGCCAAACTGGCTAGTGGAAATTGAAACCCACCAGCCAAAACTGAATTTCTACTAGTCTGTGACTAGTGGGCTACTGTTAGTGTCGAGCCCTGGATAAACTAAGAAATGAGATAAAGAGGAAGAAAGGAAGGAATGAAAGGAAAGCAAAGAGAGAAATATCCCTTATCACTCCTCCTAGTGACCTTGCAAGATCAACACAATATCACGAAGACAAGTGATGGGCTCAAGAATAAAGAAAAATATCAACAGGGAGATTATTAGTTGAACTAATAACAAATTCTCTGAACTTATATCATAAGAGTTGTATGGCAGATGGTGGGGAGAATTTCTAATAAGAACTTGGGAGAGAAAGGGTAAAAGAACGAAAGGTGCAATGAAAAATAGAGTTGGAGGTGGAGACGGTTTTTTGAAGAAATCTTACTTAACAATAAAATAAGAGTAAAAAGCTCACCTGGAGTCTGGCAAGTGGAATTATCTCAGAATCTTTTGGTTTATGCCAAACTGTAGACTGCGTTCCACCACAGTAATAGTAATAGCGCCGCGTCTTCTGGTCATACAGCTCCCACCATTGGCTGTCATTTGCTTCCCTCCTGCATTTTCCAACAAAACCAAGATTTTATAAGAATTGCTGTTTGTTGTTGAAAGAGACCTTGATTCACCTTGCACTTGATTCCCCTTGCACTTTAAGAGGCCTAGCTTTAGGAGGTCTCTCATTATTTACTGCTGGGCAACTACTTTGTTATTCATAAAACAACTTTTGGGAAATTGCTCTTAAAAACTTGAGCAGACTTGAAGTTAATTGCTGATAATTAACAAAAAAACTCCCCTTTATCTCTCTAAAAAGGAAAATAAAGTGCAATCGCTGCAACATATTGTACATCCTCTTACTCATGAAAAAGGTTACAAAATTTAACTTGGGACAATAAATGTTGAGAAATTAAAATTGAATTGTGTACAGTTTCATGACAGAGAACACTGATCACTAAATTAGAGATTTTCATGGCATATCTAAATGCCCAATTTTCATCTATGATAGAAACCACATTCTAAAACAATGTGAAATCCACTTACACTTGTACTCCCACAGGAGGTTCCCATAAACACTGACCACTTTTGAGGTTGGCATACATTGGTTCCCCTGAGCGGGGCTCAATAATTTCAACCCAGTCTGACCTAAAAAGTTGATTTTAAGTCCAAAATTAGTTCATGTGTAACAAGCATCTTGTGAATAAGATATACGTTAAACTGATGTACACAGGTAATGATTGATGTTTTCTAAAAACAAAGGGTTTTAATGAAAGCTACAGGTCTTCTTTATGGAAAAGGTTATCTGTTCTAATATCAGCAACCACTTATCAAAAAATATTGAAACCCCTGAAATGTGAAGAGAAGTTATTTTTCTGCATGTTGCATTTCATGTCATCTTCCTATTTAGTCTACTGTTGCCATTATAATTTCAATTGCTAGCTTACAGAAGTTACTGACATGTACAGATGTGTTTCAGCTCTGCCCTATTGGGGTCAAAAAAGAAATCATGATGGAGATTAAGGCAGCAAAGATTAATTTCCCAGAATGGAAATGTTTCCTGAAAAGGTGACTCCAGAAGAAAAATTCTGTGACATGTAACTGTATTCATAAGAGGCAAAAACAATCCTCCAAAAATTATATTATAAAAATGCAGATTTAAACTAATAAATAAAAAACGCATGTAAGACACATTAAAAAACAATTCATTGCATCTAATACAACAAAAGCATGGATTGAAAACACTCACAAAACTTCAAAAAACTTATAGATAGAAAGGCTTGGAAATCAATAAAAACAACCCACAAAATTGAACGAACAACATTAAAAACTCAATTAGCACTATATCAAGGAAATCATAACTTATTTTAGAGCTCGCAAGATAAATAATTATTTATAAACGTACTGGCTTAGAACAATTAAGAACTTGATGATATCAAAAAAGGTAAGAAATTAGAAAACAAACCAATAGTTCTAGATTAAGCAATCACAACTTAAAAAAAAGATACACAATTTGAGCTCAATATCAAAATATCTCAAGCGTTTTTGTCCGTAAAAGAAACCGAATATATTCTTGTATGTTCCTCTACTTGAGTGTGATTTACATTATACGGTATCTTACCAGCACCTCATTGAAAATTAAACAACCCCCTTCTTGTTCATCGATAATTAACAAATTAAGCGTATACAGCGGGTGTATCATAACCAAAACATTGTGTTTTGAGCTGAACATGCGAACCAAGAGGATTTACTTTTCATTTCTTAAGTACCTGCTGCTTCCTAAAATAAACGTTTCGTGACAAGCAGCTCGGAAGATAGATTTAATTGATCTTGAACAAATACATTTCTAGGTACTTCCGATTTAATAATTCGTACGGAAATTTGAACATTCTAGTGAATTTTAGCACACATTTGAGATTAAAAAAAAAAAGACTGGTAATCGATCGATCGCTTTTTAACACAAAACCGATTACAATTTTTCGATCACAATTCTTTGAAATCACACTTGGACTTTGCCTATAGTTAATAGGTTCATCGGACAGTTTTACTTTTGTTTATTTACACCATATTATTAAGAAACATATGCCCTATCTTACTTGAAAATATATTTGCTTCGATCGGAATTAACGAAATTATTTGGAGTGATTGAAACTGGTCGCATTGCTAGATGTTCTAATCAGAGATAATTCGGTTGTGTGTTTTCGAATCAGTGCTTCGAATTGACACCAGCAAATTTTACGCTTGAGTGGAATCGAAGCGACTTCAAAGAGCCGGACAGAGCGGAGACAGCAGAAACCGTATAAGAGTTTTTAAAAGATATTCAAAAGCTAATAAATACCTTCTGTTGTAAAACATGTACCTAGAATAGTTGTAACATTATAAACAATATACCGAGCTATGTACAATTTCCTAATCTTCGTCGATCGTTGGTTGTTCATTCAATTTTCTTCGCACCAAGCTTGGAGCCAAAAACACCTCGTTAATTTCAGTACCGGTAGATCATACTCCCAAATCCTACATAACCCTTACTGAACAAATAAAAATCCAAAGGGAAAAATGCCTCTTGCTTTATCGATTCACGAACAGGCGTATTTATATTTCATCCAAACAGGTTAACCCCCTATCGATGCGAAAATTTGCTTGCCTACACACGGCCACTTGAAACTTGAGCAATAGTGCCGAAACGGATTATTGATTATGCAAAACTTACTTCTCAGCCATTGAAGATATCGATGGTAGTCAAGACCCTACATAAAACTTAGCGGTTGTGCCATGAATTGGACGTAAATCCGCATAATCGCTCTGCCATTCCCCTTCGTTTTATACGACTACCCACTGATGGTCTTCGCTTACACGACGCGCCTCCATTTTAGAGAAGTCTGGGCTGAAGTAGATACCAGTTTTTCTCGGAATTAATATTATTTAATATGGGAGGAGAGGGTAAATTTAAGCCTGAATTTATTGAAAAAATTTTATTCTACTCCATCGTAGTCTTCTTCTATAGACTTATAAATACCAAGAAAATTACTTTTTTTGCTATAATTCTACCTGAAAATCGTAATAACAGTTTTATCTCCCTTTTCAGCACATAAATAAAAAGGCTATCCCTCCCCTCTCCCTAGAGGATGAGTAACTACATTCGCCGCCATCTTTTTTTATGACGCAACCAACGCGATTGGAATAGCAAAACACAACAAACCAGACCTGGAAATTTCGATTTGTTAGTTTTCGCCATTTTTCGTTATTTTATTGTACCCAGGGTACATTTGAACGGCTGTAAGCAATGAATGGGCAAACGAGTAAACCTTTTAAGCTGAGGAAAAGCTTCTGTAAGTATCACAATTTGGAATTTTTACGGGGAATCGACAAACCGCCATTATTAGCTCGTCATCATACGAAAATTACCACTGTTTTGCCTTTTTCGTCTGTTCCATCGTTGTACTTTGTTGATGATATTTTTTGTGTGTTTTATCGAAAACCTTAGCGGCGAGGAAAAGGGATTCAGAATCTATCGTTCGGCAATATCCCGACAAAGTGCCGGTAAGAACATTATCATCCCTTGATGTTTCTCTTCGGCTTTTGTTGTTATCATGTTCTTAAAATTTATTCATTTACATCATGATACATGACTCATATAAATCACGTTTTATGGCCTGTAGCCCATTTATAACATGCAATCGGTGTTGTTGTTTAAAATGTTACGATACGTTTTGGCTATCTTTTAGGTCATCGTGGAAAGACTGAAAACGGAGAAAAATTTGCCAGTCCTCGATAAAATAAAATACCTAGTTCCCGCAGATCTGACAATGAGCAGCTTGTCAAGCATCATAAGGTGAGACAGATGTTTACATAAACAACTCCAGTTCAAAATGGTTGCTTACAGCCTAGCTTATGGGAAACTAAATCAACTGATTCGTATAATTTTCGGAAGATAGCCGGATACCGGTATGTATCTTTCACCGCATAAGAACCTTTGGACTCAAAAATAATTTAAAGCTTGTTCTCTCAACAATTGCAAATTGAAATACCGCTTGGACTTATTTATTATGTCCTTCAGAATGCTTCTTGTTTATTGATAGCAAGTTTGATACGAAATGGTGAACTGGCTTTAGCCGGACTTCAACAACAGGAACCCTTTCCCGACTAGATCTATTAATAGAAAGGCTTTCAGGTGAATTTTCGAGCTCTATGACCCAATCAAAACAGAGCTATGACAGTCTTGGGGTTTTCCGTCTGACACCCGCTCACATGCATTTGGCAGAGAAATCAGTTTCAACAATTTGCATTTGACTCAATGGAAATATGATCTTTTTTTGTGGGAAAAAGCTGTTCAGGAAGGGTTGACTAAGGAAATGAATTAGTGGAGACAGACTCCCATTAATGGGTTTCTAGATGTAGTTGTTGAAGTTTAACACAGGAGATAAATCATAATTTGACTTGTGGAATTGATCTTCACAAATACATGTAAACTTTGGCTAGATTCATGGTACAGATAGTTGTCTTGGATGGGAATCAAATGTAGTCCCCTTCAAAAGCTGAATTTTTAAGATTTATTTTTCCAAAGTGACTTTTATAGCATAATAAGTGATCAATGTTTTCAAACATAGTGAAAATCATTGGACTTCACCTAGATGCTATTGTGTTATTTTGGGGAACTCAAAATGGTTAATTTCCCGAGGTTAACAGGGAGGTCACATGATTTCGATCTCGTATTTCAAGGCGTTGTTGTTTCATTCTAATCTTCGTTTGTGTTCAGTTCGTACGCTCTAAAGTTAGTAAGGTATGTCTCAGTGTCTTTGATAGTATTTCTTTGTTTTCGAGGGGAATTGGAAATAATGGGCCCTATTTCCTCTTTCTAAATATGAAATATTGAATTCGGTTTTTACCAGTTAACCATTGTGAAGATCCTTCCATTGCCAGAAATCTTCTTGTTTTTGTTTTGTTTTTTCTTTTGCTTTATTTTATCCTGTGGGATGCAATTATACATCAGACTGCTCATAGCGATAGTGCAACAAAATTATGCCAAACATTAGACCACAGAGCTAAATAAGAGGTATAAATAAAAGATCCAGGTTTGACTGTAATGAGGTAATGATTTTAAAATTGTTGAAAGCATAAATAGCCCTCATCCATTAAAACTGCTAATAATAATCAAATTGGAAAACTTAAGGAAACTGTAGACCTTCACAGGTGTCTTTTGCACAAAATTGTTAACCTGCTATTTTAAGTATAACCAACATGAATTAAATACCAATGGAAAGGTTACAAATTGCACAATCTAGAAAAAATTGTTGTGTTTTAGCTTGATCTAATTGTGAACAGACTGAAGTGTGAATTTGAAATGGACAATGTTGTATGAGCAAATTGAGTGGGTGTCAAATCTGACTGCACAAATAAAGCTTTTGCACATTTTCAAGCCTAAGGGTGCCTCCAGGCTCTTTGAAAAAAAAAAATCCCAACCCCCATAAGCAAAACTCTTAGTGCATGTATTAATTTGTTTGAGATTAAAGGAATGATTGATTGTCTGAGTTACTATGATTGAATTTTTCACGATCAGGAAAAGGCTTCAGCTGAGTCCAACCCAGGCATTCTTCCTTCTTGTAAATGAGAAAAACCTAGTCAGCATATCGATAACAGTTGGAGAGGTTTACAAGGATGAAAAAGATGAAGATGGATTTATTTACATGGTGTATGCTTCACAGGAGACCTTTGGTTCTTGAATTGTTTAGTTTGCTACACCAAACAGTTTGTAAGTCATGCTACAACTCACACATGTACAAATGTACTTGAGACATTTGTAAAGTTAACTGTAAATTAGGGTGAGGTCAATGTATTTATATTTACTGTAGAATTGTATTTAGACAGATGCTAAACTGCGGAACCAATGTATTATACATAATGTAAAAAGGCTTATTAATATATCTAATACTTGCTTTTACAAATACCATACCTTAAAAAGGAATTATGGTTTTCTTTGGTTGGGCTACTAAAGTAAAATTATTGGTTGCTTAATCTAAAATATGATGGCAGAAAGTAAGATAGAGCCAAATAGCATCATGTATTATTTTTTTGACTAATAACAGGTTTGAACAATGCCAAGGTGAAAATGGTAGAGAAAATGGGAATTGAAATGACTATGCAATTTATTAATTGATAATAAGTGGTATTTTGTACAATCTTTCAAAATTTATTTTCCTCTTTTACTTGATAAGTATTATCTGCCAGTTTGTGTTTTCAGTAAGATTGTCACCAAAACTTTTTTTCTTCCATTATAACTATTCTGCCATGTCAACTCTTTGAGTATATCTTTTCAGAAGACATGACACAAATTTGGAAGAAATAATTATTCCTAGAACTTGTTTGTTGAAGTATGAATATTAATTTCATATAACAGGGGTGTACACTTTTTATGGTTTTTAATTCAATAAGCAATTAAATTTATGGTGTATTGCAATGTGCTGCAGTAAGTTTTAATACTTCAGGAGCACTATCAAGGACGGTCTTGCTACCCCACTGGAATTGACTGTATCATTGCCAAATGTAGCACTTCTCTGGAATGGAAATAAAGCATCAAACAATTTGATACTGATGAGTGAAAATCTTCTTAAAACGTTTTGAACATATGACAAACAATTGTACTTTCTCATTAATCAAATGAAGCGGATGATTTCTGTCAGTATAGGGAGAAATGGTCGGAAATTAAACTCTTGACGCGCGATTTTGTCTCTCGGAGGTGATTGGTTAAAAGCTATTTAACAAGGGCTTAACAACTATTTACCAAAGTCGAGGTGGTTTGTGGTGGATATTTACCAAAACATTGAATCACCTATACGTGTACTGAGGTGAATGGGTCTTACAGCATATATATATACTAAAACAGTAACATAATAGAGCACAATGAAGACGATTTTAACTCGCTTCAACGATTACAATTTTTTTCCACAATTGGCGGTAATGTCGCAATCTGATTGGCCAACTATTTGCCGTTGTTGATAAGAGTACAGACAACGCTGTTCGCGCAACGTGTCACGGACTGCAAGATTGTGGTAAAAAACAAATCCGTAGTGGCGTAACAACGATATTCGTCATCACGGTGGTTGAAATGTTAACAACTCACGAGGCGCAGCCGAGTGAGTCTGCAACAAATTTTGCTAAACCACTGTCGATTTGTTAAATTTTTGGGCGCAAATCTTGGGCAAGTTGCTCGGACGAGGATATTCGGAGTTTGAGTAGCCGATCAGAGTGCGCCTTAACGCTATCCACCGTTTCAGTGTGTACTTCCACTTGGCTATTTCTTCCGAACTAGCCAATCGGCGCGCAGGATAAGCACTATTCACCAGGGGGGTTGTTAGTCGGTGGCAGTCGGCCATATGTTTAGTAAGTGAACTTTATGAACTTCAACTTTATTGTAATCAGACATAACATGACACTRAACATAATAACGCACTACCCACAAGTAGCAGAGCTAGTCTCGGCGGGCAGTGTGTGGACGCTAAAACATCTTAAACAAATTTCGGCTCAACAAAAGATTCAATAAACATACAAGAAACAGAGGTTAAACATTAAATCAGTAAAGCAGAAATGACAGTATGAGACAAAAACACAGAAACAGAAATACATGACCGTAAATAGAAGAATACATAAGTTTAGCCGTTTAGGTCGACTCTTGAAACATCGCCCGTCTATTGGTCGATAAAATAAAAGTAAATAAAACCAAAGTTTGAGCGAGATAACCTTGGGTCGCGAGCTGTATTCATTTCAGCTAAACATTCCAATTGCCACCCCACTCAAATATGCCCACGAACTGAATCCCTTGTAACCTTTTACACCGTTTACCTTCAAATTTTGGATATAAATAAAGTTAAGCCGTTGGTGCATCCAACTCTCTTCCTCTTCTCCCATGTCGGAGGGTACAATCTTTGAAACACAACATTTCAGCTACACTACACAACAGACACTGATATATTGAACTATTCACCTATTCAACTATTATACGAGTCTTTCGATTTTAAACTTATTGTCATTTGTTTTGTAGTTATATGTTCGGAGATACTAGCACATCTAGTGCTATTCATAAATCCGAATGGAAATAAAGTTTATGTATGTCTATGAACCATTAGGTTTATTTTGCATGTTTCGGCAGAGCACCAGCGTACAATAATGAAAAGAAACACATATAGAAAACCGTTGCATTCTCCATAATCGTCATCACAGCACACGACAAAAAGACATACTGAGAGCTTAGCAACCACCGTGAAAAACATCGTGGTTAGAACGGCGGCCAGAAAAAGCCTGCCGTAAAAAACCCCGTAGGGAAAAAAAGAGACAGGAAATCTGGGTAGGAACCAGGCCAAAGCTCACGTAACCTAACTACTAGGCTCTATGCATACTTACAAAAATTAATAAATAAATAAACTTAGCAATAACTGAGATGGTGTCGGCCTAGAATGATTGCCCACGTACAATCACAAGCTTTAACTTTGCCGCAGAAATATTTAATTTCCGGCTTATTCGTTGGCACTCAATCGCCAGAAGTTCCATTTGCAACTAACAAGCGTCGATCACATAAAATCTAGCTTTGATTGGGTGGTGAACATGCCATTTACCTGTACATACAGGCCAGGTCTATCAGAAGCCAGAGACACAGGGGCATGGAGCTAGTCCAACACGATCTACGTGACAAAAGTTTGATTGCTGTAGCTCCGACCTCAAGTCAAGACTAAACGATTTAAGAAAAGCAAATACAGTAATAGATTCTCATAACGGTAAGATGTTAAGGGTACTTGATCAGTTAAGTTCTACTTTCCGAAGCTCCCAGGTTTTGTACCTTGTGTAGCAGACAAGCGGTCATGCATGCACATTGTTTTAGGATGATCAAAAAAGGACTTACCTTATTTTCGTGCAGTCTAGGAATATCAATTTTTTTTTTGGGGGGGGGGTAGGGGTTGTATCCTTGGAATGCGCACTATAATACCAACATTTCCGGTGGCATATACCATGTGGCCGACACATTGTAAAGAAAACAATGAACTGAATGCTCCGCGCACGAAAATTGATCGTTGCGTATGATGTATCATATGACAGGCCTGTAAAGAGAAATTCGTTAAGAAAAAAAATAAGTCAGCTACTCGAGAAAAAACTTGAACTTGAACTTTATTTTTATTTAGACACGGTAAATCTATCAGATATAATAATA